GAGGGGCCGGATCATTGAGAGCGCTTTGTGTTCGGAAAGGCTCGCCTTGAAGGGAGGCAGCTTTTACGAGCTTGTCAAACCTTGGTTTTGTTGAAGCAAGTTGTAACAATCGATTTGTTGTTTACGGCTAGCCGTGTAGTTTTTATTAATTGGCATGGCAACCCTTGACTACGAAAGGAGTTAGTATTAGCAAACGTATGTGTAATAGCCACAGTAAGTTGAAATGGTTTGTTTTTGTGTTTTGTTTTAGGGTTTTTGGGCCAGAAAGGGCCGGTTTAAAGAAGCGGGGGTTTTGGGAGGTGCCAACAAGCATGTTCCGAGGGGTCTTTTGGCCAAACCTTTTGGTGCCTTTAAAGTGGTGTTGATTGTCAGTCGGGCGACTTGAATCAGAGGCTTATCAATCATGCGACATGATTCTTCGCGTGCTGGCGAAAGGGGCGCTCATGAAAAGTAATGGTTTTGCTTTTGTGTCCGCAAAAGCCACGTTTGAACCTTTGGCCAATTTCTCCATCCGCGTCTCAAAGTGCGGGTCTCAACTCGCGAAAGGAGCCTATGCGAGAGCCCTGCGAAAGCCTTCGCGAAACGGAGTGAAAGGTTTCTCTTTGACAGCTGTGAGCACCGCTCACTTGTCTGAACGGTGTTGTTTCTCTCGGGTTCCCCTCAGCAACCACAGAAGAGTAGCCTCAAATAAAACCCAACTCGATCCTTTCAGATGTGCGGTGTTTGATTCCCCTCGTCGGCCTCTCAAATAGGACTCTGCGTGACTGGTAGGAAATACCGCACGGAGATTGTGTTTGACACCAATCCCCATGTTTGGAGCTCACTGCTTGGGTGTGTTTGTGTTGGGGAACCCCTTTTTGGATTGAAAGGGAAGCAACTCGTGTTGGAGGTCCCCAATTTCAACACAGATGCATCTGCTTGTTGTGTGTGTGTGTGTGTGACACTGTGTGTGTGTGTGTGACACTGTGTGTGTGTGACACTGTGTGTGTGTGTGTGACACTGTGTGTGTGTGTGACACTGTGTGTGTGTGTTTTTCAAGTGCTCAAGAGCGCGCACTCCAAAACCAACATCTTGTTTTGAAACGCTTCACCGGTTGCCAATGTGGTCCATGGGACCCGGTGAAAACAAGTTTCTGGTGGTTTCCGGCTTCGAGTCGGGTATGCACCTGGCACTCCACCAATCAACATGGAACCTGACGTTCATTTTGGGTTCCTGGTTTGGACCACATGTTCCTTTTAAAGGCACCAACTCGATCCCAAACGTCAGGTTCCGTCCACTCGTAACTCGAGGCGGAGTGGGGCCCAGAGGCGGTGGGCACTCTGGTGGCCGCAGACCACCTGGGCCGCGTGCTCAGCAAGGAGCGCGCGGAGAAGGGAGCCGAGCGAGCCGCGAGCTGGGCCAAGCGATGGCCGAAGGACGTTTTCCCACAAGAGCAACGTGGGAAACCCGGTTCGTGTTTACCGGAAGAAAAGAAGTCACGCCTCAGCACAAGGTCTGTTTTTTTTCTTCTTTTTTTTCTTTTCTTTTTTTGTTCTTTGTTTGTCTTCTCTTTTTCTCTTTGTTTGTTTTTTTTTTTGGAGGGGGGGGGGGGGTTGGGTGTTTTAAAATCAGATGCGGAGGGCTTTCTCAGATTTCTTGGACTCCGCCAACTCGGGTCCCGAGATGGTGGCTTCGATCCCCGGCCCTCAAAAAGGAGAATGGAAAATTGACTGACTCTGGAGATCTTAAATTTGTATCCATGTTCCCTTATGTTTTGGGGGAGCCCTGAATCACATTAAGATTTTTGTTCATGTTGCCTTTTGTTCCCTCAAAAAGGGGGATCTCCCTCACTCTCCCGCAAAGCAGAGGGTATTAGCTTCCATCAAGGGAGGGGACTTACAGGCGACGCGAGGCAAGACGTCAGGGGCTACTTCATTAATAAGCACAGAGCGGTCCATTGCTTCGGAAGATGCCAACGAAACATTGCAAGGGAACAGGTTGGAAACACTGCAGTGTACTGCAATTTTCTCAGGTGCGGCTGGTTCGCTTGCGATATTTTTCGGGAGTCCACCGTAGCAGCCCACTTTTGTTTCTAGTTGGACGGTTGGACGTTACTCTGTTTGTTCTGGGCAATTTGTAGCGACCTCACAAAACATAGTTGTTCAACCTGGCCCATGGCCCATGATAAAGGAATCTGTCACGGAGATCCCTATCGTTTGCTTTGCGAGTTATGATTCACTCGGTTTTGTCGGACGGCCATTTTGGCGGTTGTATGAAGCCGTGTTGGCTAGCTCACTCGGAGAGTGAAAAGTGAGTACAGCGACTTTTGTAAGATAATTCGGTTATAAATATGAGTAAAAACAATCTAGAAGACATTTGGGTTATAGTTTGATGTCAAGAAATGCAACGCAAATACAGTTTACCGAATCAAAGGGATACCTTTGAAAATCCCGCGCGTCAAGAGGCAAGTAGTTGTTCTTTGAAGGCAGCCACAATTGGGAAGGATATGATCATTTGTGTCTCATATTCCCAAACCCTTGTTTGACACCCGAAACGCATGATGTTCCCTCTGTTTGGGTGAGTTACAAGGGGAACCGATCTGAAGAGATGCCCTTAGCAGGACGCAAAACAACACATGCAACTGAACAATTTGAACATGCAGCGAGTTCCTACCTTTGTTATTTTTCTATCTGGGTCACACCACCTGGTTGTTGCCCATTTCACACCGGGTTGGTTTTGGGACGAATGACCGCAATTGACGCCTCTTCGATGTCGTGTCTTTGCAGGATCAAAGCCGCTATGCTCTGCGCTTGGTTGCCTTATTCTTTATGTGTCACTCCCTCTACAATCCCAAGCACGCAGTTGCTTCAAGCGGCACGAAGAGATGAACATTGGAGGAATTGTGACTTTGTCAGTCAGTAGAGGAAGCAAAATGAGGCTGACTGGCGTGTATCGTTTACGGCCCTTGTTGCCTCAAACAAACCAGACAAGCCCTGATTTCCAGACCAACCCAAAGCAGCCAATGACCACCAGGTTGCCATTGGCAATGTGGACATTGGCGCGACAGCCAAAGGCAGCAACCTGGTCTGCTGTTAGGATTGCAATGGGCTGTAGGAAAACGACTCCAGCACATGGTTGCTTTTGGCATCCCCTTGAACATGCAACTTTGCTTGTTCTCCGTAAAGGAATATTACGTAAATGAATTCATAGTTCAATCAGATTCATATTCCCTGATCACAAGCAAGTTGCAAGGTGTACCGCGCGTTCCATGGCGCAAAACGGTTCCCATCCGGTTCCGCTGGGAACGCTTCGCCAGGAGGGCGCCCTGGGGGAAGCGGAGCCGCTGCTGCGGCGGGCGGTCAAAGGACTGGAGGAGGCGACTTGCGGGAGGGACGAGAGGAAGATGGAGACGCTCCCACAGCAAACGACGCGTCGCCGTGTCTGTCTGTCTGTCTGTCTGTCTGTCTGTCTGTCTGTCTGTCTGTCTGTCTGGTCTGTCTGTCTCTCTGTGTGTCTCTGCGTGTCTGTGTGTCTCTCTCTCTCTCGGTGTCGGTGCGAACCAATGGTGACCACACGTATTTTACTCTCACTTGAGTTTGGAGTGCTGTCACGAAATGGATGGGAGGTTCCGTAACAGTTTGAGACCAATGTAGTTTGGGGGCGGCTCTGACTCCCCAGTGCAAACCAAACAGGTCCTATGAAACCAAGGATGTGTGGCTTGCTCTCGAGTTTCTTCACTTAAAACCTTCGAGGAACACCGATTTCATCGTAAGCGCGCAATTTGGGGACGTCTGGCCAATCCCGCGCAAGTGAGTACAAGGTCAAGTGTTGTGTTGTCGCAGCGCCCTGACCCGGGGCGGCTGCACAGCGCCCAAACAGCGCACATTGAGAAGCGCCCAACCAGCGCAGCGCCGCAGGGGCGCTTAACCTAGGAAAAGACGGGGTTCCTGAGTGAAGCATCCCCGAAAAGAGCCCAAGGGGGCCAAAAGGGGGCAAAGGCGGGGCCACGGAAAGGCCGAAAAGAAATTGCCGCTTGTGCGGCGCACCCTCGACAGCCGGTTATGTGTCATTCACGGTGGCCGGAGCCAGGGGGCGCGGGATGGGTGCATGGCCACATCCGCTTCGCGGATGCAGCCCATTTGCCTGAGAAGCGAGTCCTCATTCCCTAAACTCTGACCACACCACCCCAACCTCATGGCCAAGGTGGACCCAGGGCTTGGGGTGAGTCGAAGTGCAGCATCAGGGCATTCCCAAAGGGCATGTTGCACCGAAGAGACACAGGATTGGCTACAAGAGTAACACTTGTCGCGGATTGGGCCGGCAAGGGTCCAAGTAGCATCCGTGCTGAAGCCTCCTACCATGACACTGACCGAGTGTCCGGGAAAGAATGCGAGCCAGCTTTCGAAGAACCAAAAGGGAATATGGCTTTGTGGAGGACAAATTGGGTTGTAGAAAGAGATGACAACTTTTCTCATTTTTCAGGCCTCCTACCTGCACAACCCCCTTGTTACATGACATTTGTGTCGCGACAAGAATCGCGGGCCGACCAATTTTCGCCCGATCCAAAACGTGCTCGTTCCCCCAAGAACGCTCCTCTCAGGAACCCGGGCTTGTTGCAAAATACGACCCAGTTGTTGCGTGATACGGATCTGCGCTCGAATTGCGGGTGTTTGCGCAGGCATGTTTCCACGCAACGGACTATAAGAGAGAGAGAGAGAGAGACAGAGAGAAACACAAATGCTCGAACCCAAACAATTGCGTGTTTTTTTCTTGGAAAAACTGTGCGCTTCGAGCACGCGACGAAATACCCAAGGGACACCCAGCTGAGAAATTTGGGATGGGAGCCCCATGGTTTTCCAGGCGTTGGGTGAGCACACGGAGACACAGATCGCCAGAAGCAACCTGGGGATGCTGCTGCGCCTTGGCGCTTCATGGCCGCGCCCATCCGAATTGGCCAGGTTGGCCATGGTTCTTGTGTCTGGCTAGTGCGGTGGCATAGCTTGAGAATTTGCGATGTTCTTGATACATCGCTCTGGTGCATTTTGCCATTGCTTGGATGTTAGGACTTTATTTTTTTTGCCAACTAATGGGTCTTCCATTGCTGCCCTCATATTTTTTGGGTTGGAGAGGGTTTCACCAGAGGTTAGTATCAACTATCTTCATTTAAGGTTAAAAAACACTTGTTGGTTTTAGAAGGAATTCATCACCACTGGACATATTTTTTCTTTTTTCCTGGGGCCTTAGCCAAATGGAAGAATATGAGTCTTCCTTTGTCCCCCAAATGCGGACATGTTGGACGATCAACTACAAACTAATCATCACAACAAACTAAGGACTAGCAAAGTCCCCAAAACCGGTTCATTCAGCCACATTCCCCACCTATCGCACCAGCAAGTTAGGGAAAGCAAAGGAACAGCCCAAGCCCTTAGCTCTGAGGGGGGACTTGGGAACATTTGAATGGTATCCGAAGGCGAAAAGGAAGCTGATCCCTGCAATGAACCAAGAAAGGGTGTTCATTTGTCCTGCCCAAAGGCTCCCGCTGGGTTTGGGGCCCTCCAACAGCCAGGTTTTGAGACCCAAACGCCGAAGCGGGGTGTCTGCTTCGGGGTCGGGTCTTCCCTTGAAGGCCCAAGCCGGGAGCCTCGGGGAGCGGAGAAAAGGCCCCGGAGGCCCCGGGCTGAGGAACAGCCGCAGCGACCCGGAGGCGGAGGAGCATTGCCGACGCGCCTGGGAGGGCAGCCAAAGATTGCGCCTCAGACGAAGGGGCCAGAAAGGGGGGGGTTGGGGTTGGGGGGGTTGGGGGCTTGGGGTTGGGGGGGGTTGGGTGGGTTGGGGGGGTTGGGGTTGGGGTTGTTGGGGATTGCAGGTTGTTTCAGAGAAACAGGGTCTTGCCCCTTTTGCTGCCAGCCATTGGGCTCACGGGAAGTTGACTTCGGGAGACCCCAATTTGAAGCTTAGAGGGTACCCCTGAAAGTCCTAACTACATGCAGAGCGACGTTCTTAAACCCGTATTTGAGTGTACATCGCATTCGTGAGGAGATATCGTTTTTGTTTTTGTTTTTGTTGGCCTTGTCCTGGGCTCTGAAAGGCCGCGTGAAAGGTCGCACAAGCGCTCAAAATCGGTCTGTTGTCTGCATGCATCTGCGAAAGCTAACAATCGAACCTCCAACCCACGCATGTCTCAGGCCAAGCGATGTGGAAGCGATGCCTCATCAATTTTATTTTATCGCGAAAGGAGCCTCGCATGCCATGACAGCCCCACTCAAGCCTTCGAAGGGATTTGGCCGCCATGCCGCTCACATGGCTCTCAAATCCAGAGGGTCCCGCTCAAAAAATGCTTTGAGCTGGAACCACCAGCCATCAATTTTGGAAGTTGCAGTCCTGTGCTTTCCCGTGCGTGTTCACGTCAATCAGGCAGCTATTTAATTACAAACTCTGTTTGTTGCATACAATTTGGGGCTGCAACCAAGATGTGAAGCTTGTTGGTCCATATGATTCTGAACATGAGGGTGGCATCGGTTTCTTTCGGTGTCCCCTTTGCATCCCAAAGCATATTTGGACCCCAAATTTGAACACTGGCCATCATTCACGGCAATGCTGAACGTCACCTCGATTGATGCCTTGTTTGTTTGATTGGGGGAAGCTTCCAGGGAAGTCGCCTCAGCAGCTGGCCTATTTGTTGCGGTTTTGCGTTTTTGTCAGGAACACACAAAGGCCTAACCCTTTCAAAATTGGTAGACATGGTCCTGGTGTGGTGGTGCTGGTGGTTGTTGTCGCGGTGGCGGTGGTGGTGCCGCTGGTGCTGGTTCTGGTGCTCTGGTGTTGGTGTTGCCGCTGATGGTGCAATTGGCCTTCGCAGTTCCGTGTTTTGGCGCAGCATCATGTTTTTTGGTGTTTCCTTGCGGGGATGGGGTCCCAGAGAGACCAATCTGAAGCTTCCGGCTATTCGGCTCCTTATAGAAACTCCAAAACTTAATGTGACTGCAATGATACACAATCTAACGCATCCACTGTAATTCCACGACGGGGGGAACAGTTGAGGGGACTTGTTGGGCGGTTGATGAATGAGGTTCCATGTGGGGGAATAGGTGGGATGGAAGTTGATGTGACTGTCAGTGCAACCTGTACCATAGAAAGAACAATATCACATCGCGCACACCCACCAAATGACCAGGGAGGACACCTCGCCGAAAATCGCTGTTACCCTAGGGTTCAACCCGCACCAAAAGAATGGTTGACCCAATTTGGATGATGAAGCTCTTTTGGTTAATAATGGAGGCTATATGCACCCCTCTGTTTTGATGGTGGTTTGAACCCCGGGGCAAAAATCTCAAGTGACTGCAGGCTTGGCCCGGACCACGCAGAGACGCTGGTCTTCGGGATGAACCTTGCAGTGGCGACTCGGTCGCCACTGCCCAGAGCAATGCTAGGTCCCCCAGTAGTGTCCTTTGACCCGTTTTTGGGGGAGGGTTCCCCTACTAAAAATGGACTACAGAAAAAGGGTACCCTTGTTCTATCCTC